TGAGCTTGTAGTGGGTGCTGAAGTATCTAGCAATTTCACATTGAGAAGCTATTTTAAAGGTAGAATGTCATCATTTGAAAAGAATCAAGGTTGGTAAACAATAGAGGTACTTACATCAGAGCTTATAAAGTAGATGCTTTTTGTTTAAAAATATTTAGGCTTGAATCGATAGACCACGTACATGTCTACTTGATTATTATTTGCTACAATAGGAATACTTGAAAGAATGGTATTTAATTATGCAACCTTTGTAGCAATTAGAATATTTTGGACCAGGTTTATCTTGATTATTTATGGATAATAAAGTAATATAAAAAATAGAGATTAATGATGATAGAATCTTAGAATCAATATTTGAAGGTGGCAAAAGATTGAAGGTGATAGGAATTACTAACTCTTATCAATTTATTTGATCAAGATTCTAGATTTCTTGTATAAGCCATCATTATTTTTTTCACAAAGGCGTTGATTCAAAAAGATAAGTCGGCAATGTTAGAGCTATCCAAATATAAGGGTGAAATAGCAAGTATAAGGAGAAGATCTAACATGGGCAGAAATGTGGATTGTGGAAATTTTACATGGCTCATGAAAATCTTAAACCTTAGGTATGTCACTAAGTGAAATTTATAAATATTTTGTAGTTTTATCAAATTAATAACATTGACTAGGTTTAGAATTTAGGATTTAGGGTTTAGGTTTAGGTTTAGGATTTAGAGTTTAGGTCTAAATTATATTAAAGAATTTATCTAGATGGTTTTGAAGTGAAGAATAAATAACATCTTGGATAAAAGAATCAAGGTATGTCTCTATAAACTCTATTTATGGATCATATATGCTAAAAAATTCCAAATCCAAAAATCTTAACTAAGATTTTAAAACCTTACTTAGAATTTTTAAACCTTAAATCCTAAAAAATATAATATATAATTTTAAAAAATTAAAGCATTTGTATAGGTCTTTATAGGCATATATATCATGGCAAAGTCTCAAGTTGAACAAAAATATAATAAAATCTAAGAAATTTAAGATCAAAAATCTAAAGGACATTCTTATAATCCTAAATCCTAAATCTTAAATCCTCCATATCATTCAAATTATACATTTTTTGAAAAAACTAAATATACCAATAAATTCAAAATATTCCAAAATAGGAGATAAATTTCTTTAAAACATTTAAATTCTTTACTAAAAAAAAAAATCAATTCAATATTTAAAAGTCAAAGTATCTATATCTATCAAATGAAAGAAGTATAAGTAAAATTAATTGCATCGTTGGAACCACAATCTTTACAAATATGGATGTAGGTTAATTCAATATCCCAAAAAAAATACGTCAAGTTTTTCAAAATACATATGTAATCCTAAATCCTAAACCCTAAAATTTCTAAACTTGATTCTTTGAAATATGCTATAGTTATTTAGGGACTATGGCAAATAAGATTTATAGCAAAAATTTATATAAAATGGGCGACCCTCAAATGGATGCAATGGACTTTTCAAAAATCTCAAAAATCCTTATATGACAAAAGTCAAAATCTTAAAGTTCAAATCAAAGTAGCTATATTTTTCAAACTATGAATATGTATAGGAAAATAAATATTCCATTGAAATCCCAAATACTATAAATGGTAGAATAAATTAAGTCAAAATTTAAAAATATTGATACTTAAAATCAAAAACATCTTTGTAAGCTTAAATCTAAAATCCTAAATCCTAAAAACCTAGTCAAATCAAAATCTCAAAAAAATTATACTAATTTTTTGATGATATATATATAATCCTAAACTCCAAATTCTAAAACTTAAAATCCTAAACCCTAAATCCTAAATCCTAAACCTTTCATATCTCTCAAATAGAAATAGCATAAATAAATTTTTTTATTGTGTTGGAATCAAAATCTTTGATAATAGAAAGGTAGGTCACCTCCAAATTCCAAAAATATAAGAATTTATCAATCATAAAGTTTAATTTTAAAACCTCCATATCATCTAAGCCATGTAATCTTTGGAATAATTAAATACACCAATAGATTCATAATATTCCAAAATAGGAAAGTATGTCTCCTCAAAATGTTGAGATTTCTCACCAATAAAATAATCAATTCTACATCTAAAAGTCAAAGTATGTATATCTACTAAATGGAAGAAGCATAAGTAAAGTTAATTGTACCATTGAAATCACATCTTTTGAAAATGGAAAGGTAAATTAATTCTAAATTCTAAAAAAAAATATGCCAATTTTTTGAAAACACACATATTGTTGAAGATCAGTAAGTACTTGCTTAGTTACAACCACATAGAGATTAATTATAGTATGTTGCTAATAGTCAAAAAGCAACAAAGAATTAACGGAAGTTACTATGGTGGTAGTTAGGATTTGTAGGTGGCAGCTAGGTTAAGAAAGAACTTAGGATTTATTTGGATGAAGTAGAAATGGATGTTATATCAAAAAGATGGAAGTTGCCTCGTTGGTTAGCAACTACCACCTATAAATAAAGGGTGTTGGAAGAAAGAGACATCTTACTCCATGCTTTTTTTTATGTACAAATCTTGCTGATGCTAAGTATTTGTAGCTTTTAGACTTCTTTTCTTCAATATATATAATTCTAAATTCTAAATTCTAATCTTAAATCCTAAATTCTAAATCTTAAATCATAATTTTTTATATTATTTTAGAACGTATTTTTAACCATTTTGACCTTGAGAGTAAATAATTATTAATATCAATAAAATATTATTTTAATCTACTTTATTGATATATTATTATAATATAATTAATTTAAAGTTATTAAAAAGTCTTTTAAACACTTAGATTTTTATACATTAAAAATTATAAAATATTTCTTTTGTATTTCTACCTAAAAGCTATCTATATACTTGCATTAATCTTTAATAAGAATCATTATTTATCTTTCAAAAATTGTAACCTTGATTTAAGTTCTTAGAGCTGAAATTATCATTAAAGTCAAGTTTAATCATTTAAGTTCTAAATCTATCTCTAATACATTTATTCTTTAATTTCTTATTTATGTTCATTCATGCCTTTGTCAAATTATCAAGGACATGAATTAAAACAAAAAGAACCTTAAATCACTCTTCTATAACTATAGAAGAATAAATATTCACTCTAAATATAATATAGTATTAAGACTAAAATGATTATTTCCAAAGACAATAACAATATACACTCTTGAAACTAGACTACAAACAAGAAAGGCATTGACAAGAATAAAGAAGGCTTCACTCTTGCCTCTATATATACTATCTAACTAGGAGCTATATTGCAATGTTTTATAAGATCTCCAATATGTGTTGACTTTGCAAGACATATGTCTTAACTTACAAAGTAAGTTTTTTATATATGTGCAACATAGTTAACTTGTTCTACAAGCTACTAATATGTATGATATGTAGCTAATTTCTTAACCAAATTTCTAACCTATCAATCAACTACAAGTATAAGCAAAGTCAAAGTTGCATCTATAAAGCTTCTACAAAGCTACTTTAGATGATATTATAAATTAATTTACTTTTATCTATTTCTATCTAATCATAAACATAATTATTAGAATAAATATATATGTCCATGACACTTTGTTAATATTAAAGTAGTCCATTGATGTCACTTATTTTGAAGTAGAATACAACTCATACTTGAACTTTGTTTTGTCATCATTAGTTTCATCTTCTAAATTCGTTCTTTTTTGTATTGAGAATCCCAAAAATCTTCATAAACCTTGTCTTGTAACACTTCTAACTTATTAATAGATCAAAAGTGAATAATAAAATAACATGATAGAATGTCAATTGTAATCTCTTTATTGTGATTTTCTTATGATATTTAAAATATAACTTTGTAGTTATATATAGTTACATTATAATAAATTTCTTTTAATACTATTTAAACGTAATTAAATTATTTTATTTTTGACTACCATAACTATTAAAGGTGGTTTTAACCACCTTGTTCTTTTAACATATGGGCCACTAACTACTTTGTCTTTTCATCATTTTTTTTATATATATATATATATATATATTTTTTTTAATCTCATTTATACTAGTTTTTTTTTAATTTGTTTTTATACTAAGTCTTTTCTTCTTATCTTCTTTTAACATAAATATTTTCCTTCTTCTTCTTTTTATAATAATTTATATCTAATTTTTTTCTAAAATATACCTCCTAAAGAATGTAAAATCTTTATTTTATTAACTAAATAATAAATGTAATTCTAAGATTGATACCTACTTTTTATATATATAGTTGAAAAGCCATGAGGTTCTTATTCATGCCTTATCTACCTACCATCCAACATTCATAGGTTTCTTTATAATTAAAATATGTAAACAGATGTTCATGGTAGTTATTTATTTCAAAAATCAAATACTAATTCTCACAAATAAAAAAGAAGAATAAATTTATTACAATAATTGACTCCAAAACTTTTCAAGACACCAATTTGTTGACCATTTATTTAACAAGACTCTTACTACTTTTAAAGAGAGGTTGCCAATAAATAAACACTGGTTGCAGATTTGAAGAAGGAAGTACTAATAAAACAAATTGTACTTAAGGAATTTGCGAAGAGGGTGCAAATAAAACAAAGTGGTTGCGGTTTTGAAGGAGGCGATTCCGAAAGATGTCAATATTATAATTTCAATGTGTTGCTTTAACAATACCCAATTCTGAGTTGAAAAGACAGGATGTCAATTTAACAATTTCAAAGTGTCGCTTTAACATTACCCAATTTTGAGTTGAAAAGACCAGATAAGGGGTATATTGAAGCCAAATGTACAGTATCTCCACTTTCAAGGAGAAGTTCAAAAAGAGAAGGTTTGTGCGTTTGATACGGTAATGAATATAATAAGCTGTAGCTGGCCAACCCTCGTAAAAGCCACAACGACCCAGTCGCGAGGACACAGCCGTTGAGTACACCTTCCACGCTGGTGACTATATTATAGACAGTGCCGGTGAGTAGACAGAAAACGGTGACCATAAAGCTGACCTCAATGCCCAGGAGCCCACATGTCTGAACCAACTATCCCCAGACGCATCCTAAGCCTTGCAGTGCTAGCCAGCTCTTGCCCCGTGAATCCTCAATCATGAATTCGTCACTATCCCTAAAACAGTCCCTAAGGCAGACCGTCGGGGCCATATCGACTGCCTCCAATAGTGTTAGCCAGCTCTTGCCCCCTGAATCCTCAACCTGGTACTCGTCGGTTCCCTTCAACCACCATCCAAGCCAGTCCATCGGGGCTAAATCGAGAGCCTCCTACAGGTCTCGGAGGAGTATCGTGAACACAGCGTTGGAACTGGCAAAGCAGCACACAGGCGACTCTGCCCATCTCACAACGATCGCGGGAGATGTGTACTGTCATATTTCTGGGACCCTGGGAGACACCAAGTACAACGCCTTCTGTACGGACTGCACACTCGTGACGATCAACTACTGCGAGAGGGCTCTCGAGCAAGTTGCGCAAATCAGTGTCCAGGGGCTACAAGATGCCAGCGGAGGGTCCGATGTGTCGGCGGCACAGGTCCAGAAAATCAAGGAGGTGAGTTCCGTGACCATAGCAGTTTAGACCACGGTTGGACCGGCAAGTTAGTTTCAACATAGATTCGGTACCGTCGTTGAAACCATCATGCACATCAGTGATTTATCTCTTTCAGAAACAGGCCTGGCACCCCCCTACGGTTGGAAGGTTGTAGGTTAGCTACCAGACACACCGAATGTAGTTTAGAGCATCCGATATCTGGAGACACCCTGCGATACCCCTGGGGATACCAATGGGATGCCGTTGCAATACCATTGTTATACCTACATGGTATCCGCAGCCCTGTCAGTCCAATTGCTGGCTACGTGCCCCCAGCCTGAGAGTGGATTTTCAGGGTGATGATTTCAGTTGAGTATTCGCCATTGAATTTTCTTCGTTTATGCGGCGGCCTCATTTTCTTTTTGAACAGAAATTTTGTGAAATTCAGCCTGAGAAAGAAACCACTGATGGTCGTCATCAGAAATTTTGTTGGACCAGATGCACATGTATGTGTGTGTGTGTGTGTTTTGCGCAGATGCGGGGTTTGATTAACCACGACTACCTGGTCCTGGAGCTGGAGAGTGGCGGTGCCGCAAAGCTACATATTCTTGCGGAGAAACTAACAGGGCGTGCACAAGAAGTTGGCATCCACATAGAAGCGCTGGTCGACAAGTCAGAAGTTGACTACCGTCTTCACGAAGGCGTCCGCCTCTACGCTATGCAGTGCCGGACGAAGATCGGATTATCCAAGATCGAAGAGATTTTAAAGGGAGCTACCGATGCTCATTACAACTTGAAAGACAACAATTGCTGGGACTACGCATTTGCCGCAACGCGTCGGCTGCTGAACGAGTGCACGGCGTGTGTAGGCCCTGAGTCACCTGAGTACAACAGGTTGAAGCAGATGCATGACAACCTGGAAGGTGATCTGAACCGAAAGTCTATTAAGGCAACCTTGAAGACGGCGTGTGAGTATATCAGAAGCTCCTACATCTCTTGATGTATGTGCAGTAGGAGAATATGAAGCAGACGTTACATGTAATCATATGTGCCAAAGCCGAGAAGTAGATGCTGTACTAAGTAGTGACTATGATAGCTTGCTATTTGGATGTCCTCATCTAATAAAGGACATCTATATGATAGAAGGATACGCAGATGTTATAACACTACAGAGTATATGCAGAGAATATAGTGCAATACGCTCTTGAGACGTTCCAGAGACATTTCGCAGTGGTCCATTTATTATCCGGCAGCTAGGCTCTGCACCCATGTGCTTCGCACACTCAACCCTTGTCCCATCGACGGGCAAGAAGAAACACGGTCCTAGTTCACCTTCTGTACAGACTGACAGGTGCTGTTAAATAACGAGTCTGTTTCTGCCTTGGTCTGTAGATCCTCCTCTGAGGTATGCTCGTTGGACATGCGTTTTATGGAGGACGTTTAAAAGTGTTACATGTCGGAGTTATCTGTAAACTCGCTCCGTGGTTGATTGTGCTGCAGCCACCGCATGCCCCAGAACCAACTTGTAGACTTCTTTGTTGAGCGCAAAACAACGGATTTCACCACAAACCAATGGCATGTAACACCAAAAGCCACACAATGCTTGTAATAGAATGTGAGGTGGCTTTGGGTGTTGTCAATGGTGTTTTAAAAACCCTTAAACATTTGTTGTCAATGGTGTTTTAAAAACTCTCAAACATTCTCAAACACTTTTGTATGCCAAAAGTCAAGATGCTAAATCCCAACTCGAAGTTATTATATCTGGTAAACTATGAACTTGTAAAACAAGTTAATTATACCATTGCAATTATAGACCTCCAAAATTGAGATAAATCAAAATTAGAAGACAAAATCAAAAACTCCGGATCAAAAAACCGGGCTGCGTGGAAACGTGATCGAACACTGATACCCGCAATGTTGTGAAATCAACATTGTCGTCTGAGTGCTGCTAAGCCAGTACCAACCACGTGTTACCGACCCCCCCTGAGACGTACAGGAGGGTGTTGATCAGGCCCCGGCTCCATTGCTTGGGAGTGGATGCTGTTCCATCACCCTTCTCGATGCCGCATGTGAGCCGGTTCCGCATTAAGTTCAGTCGTTGAGGTTAGCTTGATCGGGGCTCGTGTAATGGGCGATCACATTTGGCCAACTACTTGCAAGGTGGGTGTTCGGTGATCTCTGATTCCATTGATTGGTTCTAGGATTAGTTAGAGAGCTTTGATTCAACAGTCGTTTGATGAAAAATCTGCTGTCAAAGCCAGGCTTTGGTGAAAATGAGTAGGAGAAATGTGATGACCAGATTGCAGTGAATTCTCTTCCGATGGTGCCTCTTGATAAATCAGCTGGCATCTGATAATGGACTGTGTATCAGGAACCGTGTCACACTGAAGTGCTGCTATCTGGCTGCTGTCAACCTAAGCCTGTTGTCACTTGAACATCTTACGAGTGCAAACATGTACAGACAAACTGCTCACTTACCATACGGTATGTGAGCTTCGATTTCACACACTTGCAATATGTAACTTCCAACTCTCGAGGCATAGATTTCCCTATCAGGTCGCTAAGCCAGCAGAAAATCCGAACAGGATACGCAGCTTCACAACCTCACCAAACAAAAATGGCAAATGAAATCATTTAAAGCGATCCCTCCCCAAGTCTGGAATCAAAAACAGCAAATGCATTACGCAACGACTTCAAGTGCAAGTCATGGCTTTCAATTCAAACAGTACCATACTCCGAAATCGCAGGCGGTATATCAAGTGGCAGTATAAACTTGTCGAAGGCCCGAAATCAAGTTGCTGACGAGGTAAGACCTAACGCTCTGCAATCGATTCCTACGCCCTAAAGTAGCCATTATGCCAAGCTACCGACATGCACCATAATGGTTATTATGATATATTATCGACAATAAGATATATTAGGTGCTGAACTTATTGCACCCAGATTTGAGAACCGAAGCGGTCGAAATTTAGTGCCACCCGAGCCGACTGTCAGAACAGCGGGCATCACGGCTCTGCAGACGAGTTGGAAAGCAGAATGGACACCCTCTCACAATGCACGAGTCATCCTCGTCGGCTAGACTATTTTTACATGTTTCCCTACGATTTAGAGACCACTGCGGTCTTCTGTACTTCACAAAGATTTATATCTATCATTATTTATATTTAAAAAAAAAAAAAAAAATGAATGACACAGTAGGGGGCATATTGGAGCAACACTCAGCATGTCTTGCCTCGCTGTACAAATTTCAAGGAAATAATTTTAAGAGGAAAAAGGTTACGTGCTGACTACGATAGTGAATGTGGTAAGCTGTACCAGCCTCCGCCTGTCAGAGCCACAATGACATGATTGTACAGACAACGGTGACCATAAAGCTGCACCTCGATGCTCAGGACGACACAGGTTTGACCCAAGTTTCTCCAGACATATCGTGATTCTCGCAGTGCAATCCAGCGCTTGCCCCGTTAATCCTAAGTCATGTCTTCGTCGGAGTCCAGCAGAAAGCTCGCAAGGACTGGTTTGGGGGCCTCATCGAAAGCCTCCTACAGGTCTCGGAGGAGTATCGTGAAAACAGCGTTGGAACTGGTAGAGCATTTCTCGGGCGACTCTGCCCATTTCACAACGATCGCGGGAGATGTGTACTGTCATATTTCTGGGACCAGGTTTAGGGTTTAGGTTTTAGGGTTTAGGGTTACATGGGTGTCCTAGAGGTTTTCCATCCTCAATATCTCTCAATATATCACAGCTTTTTATGTTTTAAGATTTTGCCAAGGCTTAGAATCACCCAAAGACCTCTACAAACGTTTTTGTTTTTCAAAAAAATGTGTTTCGTTTTCTATAATTTAGGGTTTGAAAACCCTAATTAGGGTCTCCAGACCCTGTTTATAGTTCTCACTTGCATATTGTTTCTCATCAAACAACTGTGTATGGAGTCTAAATGCGTACAGAACACTACTTACTCAAAGCAATCCCCCAGAGATAAGTAGTTCACCTAGTCCAGCTCCAAAGAGTCCTTCAGGTTGCTCTCCCCTATGTCTTTGCCCGCTCTCCACCTGCTACACCACTGGCTCTCCTTCCATCAGGATCATAGTTGACGGAGTCAATATCAGCTCCATCTTTGACTTCTGCAAGACTCTCGCAGGCGACCAAGTTGCGTACCTCTGATGCATCCGTGAGTGCAGCCTTCGAGACTACGCCGCTTATTGCAATGTCGCCTATACTCACATTATAGATTCTGCAAAATCAGACATCGACACGCTCGTTAATCACCCCGCACTCACGTCCATTGCTCAACCGACCCCAACAACAGAGGGCTCAGCGGCAGCGGGTACTGTGCGAGCCCGACCAGCATCGACCTAGGCAATGAATTCTACAATGTTGCACACCCTGCACTCCACTGGGTCGACCTCGAATGCTCCAACGACTGGCTCAGACCGTCACGTTTCCATGGTCCGTCGTAAGACAAGTCCTTGTACCTCGACGCTCGATCGTAGCTTCCCGATGCACCGGCTCGCTGCAACCCTTCGTGACGCCTTGTGCTCCGATCTCTTGTCGTCGCTTCCTGTGCCTCCTGTGCCGCCCAAGGCATCCACTGCAGCTGCTCCGACGTATGCACCAAAAACCACACTCCACGATGCTAATTCTGCCCATCCTTCCACGGCTGAGTCCAAGTACCTAGCCAAATGCAGCCAATACTCAAATAGTTAAATGCACCCAAACTCGCAAGCATCGCCTCTCCGAGAGCTCCCTTTTTCGAAACTCCATACATGCTCTCCCCAAGTCCTCATACCGCCGCGGATTCCAACGCCTAGCTTTCTCGCCCGGGTGGGCAAATGGGCCCTCCGTCCAATCATGGCTCCTCCCTCTCATACATCGCCTCACCTAGAATTCCAACATCCGAAACTCATTGCACCCGTACATGTCTATCACTGCCCATGCCTCCTCGTCCTCATTATTCGATGACACAAAATTGTTGAACGACGCATCAAAAAATGTCTGTAATCCTCACGACCAGGTTTCTCGGCCCCCAGCACTGATGCCGATCCCAACTTCAACCCTCGCATGTCCGTTCGACTTGCTCCCTTCCTGCCTCCTCATAAAAGCCCCCTTCACCGCTCCTCGCCTCGATCCGCGACTCCTCGTTTGCCATCCGAAATCCCAAAAACTCACCCTTGGACATCGACGACCTCGGCGGGCTTCAAAAGAAATTGTTGAATTTGTGCAACCCTAAACCCTACCCCCAAAAGCTGTGGCTCCTCTGGTACACCCCACCCAACGCGTCATCTCGAGGCGCCTCTGCATCGTGCATCGCCGCGGGTAAGAACGAGGTCCACCGCCAAATTGTATGCTACGCTTGCACATCCTGCGACATAGGCATCTGGAAGGAATTTGGTTTTCTTGGATTATTTGAATTTTGAAGAAGAAAGACAAGAAAGTTGGAAGAAGAGCTTTGGGTGATATGTGAATTAGAGCTTTTGAATTCTTAGAGCTTTTGATACTATCTTTAAATACAATGGCAATATTTGGATTATCATGGAGTATTATAAGGCTTTATAGGTATGTTGGAGCATTGTGAAGTATCATAAGGTATTTATTGGAGCATTTTGATGTACCATTTGGAGCATTTCAAGGAACATTTTTGATCATTATAGAACAAAATGGTAGATGTATTATCAAGGTTTTTGGATATGCCGAATATTATGGATGGGTCAAATATTAGTGAGTTTTTTAAAGCTTTCTATATATTCATGGAGGAACAACAAAGAATGCAAGCAATTGAAAAAGATATCACAAAAGAATTGCAAGGAGTCATCAACAAACTTGAGAGGTTTGAAGGATGCAACATCACTAAGTTTTTACAAGTTTATACATGTAAGATGGAGACATGCCAAATCCCTAAGGCAAAGATAATTTCAAGCTTATATTTGGCTTTTGAACCTAGATTTTAGAAAAAGATGAAGGGATTGCTTGAAGGAGGTATAGAAACATGGTCAAAATTTCAAGAACTTTTGAAGAAAGAATTTATTGATGGATATGAAGGTAGGATTATTAAGCGAAAGTTTTTGAATTGGATAGAGTTTCAATCAGGCAAGCATATGGATCTTTATGAATTCTTAGAAGAATTTGATAGGAGATGTTATCAATTGTCACCCTCAAAGAGACAATCATTGGATATTTTAAAGATAGATTTGTTTTTAAATAGCTTTGATGATGCCTTGGGAGACGAATTTTTCATACTTCTTGTAGATGAGTCTGTAGGAGATGATTGTATCAATAATTGGAACAAAATGAAGGAAGTAGTGGTTGATTTAGCAAGGCAGCAAGAAGCAAAAGCTAAAGGAGTTGCAATATGGCCCAAGAAATATTCTACTTTGGCTTCTATGCCATCTTTATCAATACAATGGACTAATCTTAAAAAAAAGAAAAATGAAAGAGCAAATGGAAGATTTTAATGGAAAAGCCAAATTTTTATAGTTGAAAGAAATTGGATCTTATAGCAAGGGTAGTGAAGGAGAGAA